TTTTTTTTTTTTAAATACATTTTTCTCTCTTCTTTTCAACCACACATTCTTTAATAAAATAATATTACACGTAAATCCAAAATTTTTATTTATTTTTTAACCACGCATTCTCCATTAATCTACTATTCTAAAATGCATTATAAGAAAATAATGGGGCTCAAACAGGCTGGTAATTTGCAATTAACCAACAATAAATGGAGAAGTTCTCAGAGTTACATTCAGCAAAAAAATTGTATATACACATATTTAGGACATGGCAACAACCGAACAAGGTTCATCCGACATGGTAAAAGAATAAAGCTATCTAAAGTATGACTTACTTGAAGCTCATCCATGTCAGATTCAGTCAATGGATGTTGACGTCTGACTTTCTTTCCATCTTCACTAACCACCTAGAGAACAGAACAATCAACCACAAATCAAAATATCATAATCTAGAAAGAAAGTCAAATAGACAAAGCGATGGCTGCAGGACCACTTTACAGTCAGATGATATATTGCAGTATGGTGAAACTTTTCCAGAATATGCAACCTTACCAACTTTTTTGAGCTCCGCAAAATACTAGCAAGTTGGGGGACACCACTGATGACGTTTTTTATCTTGTTAAATGATGCAACAACAGATAGAGGCACTGCAAGACAGGAAGGTAGGAAAACACTTGAAATTCATTACAAATTGATAATTGAGAGGAAACTGAGTATCCATATTGCATCAAAATAAACAATCAAAACAAGATCTCTTCAAAAATAATTTCCATAACAGGCATCACTAATCCTTACAGAGTATTGTTAGCTATATGCATGAGCAACTGGAGAATACTTGATGGGTTTACTTCAACTATGGGTTGAAGTTCTTACCTTCTTGGGACTTCATGGACCAAGATCTGCTATTATTATATGGTGAACACGTGTTCACTAAAGGCTTATAACCAGAGGAAGGGTCATGTATTCCCTTGGTCTGCATCTACTCTGCTCGTTTTTCCTATGCAAAGGTTTCAAGGCAGATGAAGGCAATGCCCTTCAACTTGAGATGATATGTATTGTTGAAA